ATCGTTACGGGAGTCTGCGCGGTGGTCGCAGCCAGAATATAGCTCACCACATGGTAGTTTCTCACCTTTGATATATAGATCACTAACAGGCATCACAGGGCAAGTTCTTTTTCATTAGCTTAGGAGCGGGTTCACTTGGTTGTAGTAGTCAGCTTTCATAGAGTAAGTACTACCATTTGTGGTGGCATAGATCGAAAGAGCTCAGAACCCTGAATGAGCCAGCCCGTCCAAGAGTGCACGTCCGGTTGTTGAATAGGATCCAATAGATTAGGGCAACATTGACCAGGGAACAAACTTCACACCGGCTTGCTCGGTATTTGAAACCACTTCATCTCTAGATGAGTTCAACTAAAAATGCCGCTGCACTCAGATGTGATAGATTCCATGGTTAGCACCTAGCTTGATTGTTGCAGGCGGGTTACTGACAAAAGGCAAATATCAATCAAAGAACTTCCTATTGTTACGGTAAGTGCAGTCTGTAAGCCAAACTGTAACAATATGGGCTTTCTGAGGCACGGCACTCCAAGGGAAGATGGAGGGCTCCAAAAAGAAACGGTTGAAGATTGGCTGCATATAGACAGCCACCACCCATCCAAGCCGTCTAGCTCGTTCATTTTGTATGATGGCTCTCTGGCTGGGTGTAGTTACGATGAATGCGCTCAAAAAACAAAATTATTCTCCCACAACCTGCTAAGAAATAGATGAACTGATGTTGTCCGCTTCGTTGCATATGAACTCGCTGACTGGATCCGAGTGAAGCATTACGCGTATATTTTACGCGAAACTATAAGAAAAGTGCTTATCGAGGCAAGATGTTAGCGGGCCCAGAATTCGGGAGTTGGAAATATGGGGGATTAAAATAGGCCTGGTACAATACCTTAATGATGGATAGTCGCACCTTCACACCTAAACATCCCACTGGATGTAGCAGACAGTGCATGGCTAATTAATATTTGCGATGGCCAGAGTGTCCAGAAAATGATTACAGAGTTTCACGTTGTACTGCGTGAACAGGATACTGTTAGGTCGTCCAGAAATAGACATTTAAAGGATTAGGGCTCTCTACTACAATCTTTTATTCAATGAACTGATTGCAAGATTTTTGACAATGAGTTGCAACGAGTCTGTTATATGGAGAACCGCTTGACTTGGATAATATGGTCTCTAACCACTGACACAGATAATATGAACAGATCTGCATGCGCGAAAACATCAGCCGGCACAGTTCAAAGGAACCCTATGTTGGGATCCACCTTTGTCGCCTATAGTTGCCTATCCAACCCGGAGCAGGATCGCCGATTTCATTATACTTTTACTTTGGGGAAGTAACGTTGCTCCAGTTTTTCAACTGCCCTTGCGAATTCCATATGGACGGGATCCACTCCTATACCAGAATCGAGAGACTGTCCAGTATGTAAGAGCTCTCTACTAGTGCATGCTACTCCGGAGCGACCTTTCTGTTACTCCATAAACCCATGTGGGCCGCAGCCCCAATGGATCCTTGGGATCGGTGCATTATCTAAAGTTTTGTTAGTGGCAGAGAATTAGCTTGCTCTGTATGGCTTTTATTCTTGTAAATTTAACTAACCAACATCGATCAGGCCATTTGCGGAATACCCGTTCCGCAGAGATGCGAAGAAACATGGAACCTTCGCCCTATCAACGCCCAACCAATGTCTTTGGCTTATCCAGCTTCACCTTTACTCCAGAAACTGTTGCAAACAAAGTACAGTATCTTCGAGAGTACAGTACCCCTGGAATCGGCATGATCTGCCCAAGAGTACTGAAAACCCTTCCTCTCACCATAGCAGCACCATTTGTTTCTTTGGACCAAAGAAACACGAACGGAACATTTCAGACATGTGTATATCGAAAGAAGACCCACACAGACCAAATATTAAACTACCACAGCAACCATTCACTGAACCACAAGAAAAGCTGCATTGAAAGCCTTTTCAATAGGGACGAAACACACTGCAGCACGACAGCATTGATGAACAAGGAAGAGAACTATCTATACCGGGTATTTCAAAACAACGGGTATCCAAGAAACTTCATCAGAAGAAGCCTAAAGAAGAGAGTGTAGCAACAACAGCAGGAAAACATAGATAAACGAGTAGCGCTTCCTTACATCAAGAATGTATCTGAACTAACGTCAGGACTGCTGCGACCACATAGGATCTTGGTAGCCCACAAACCAACTGGGTACTATGCGAAGATTGCTTTCAAGACCGAAGGACAAAGTTAAACAGGGCAATCAAAATGACGTCCTCTACAAAACTAACTGCAAAGAGTGTGACAAACACTACATCTGGCAAACTGGAAAGAAACTGTCAACACGGATAAACGAACACAGAATGTCCATACGAAGATACGATCCGCATTCACTGGTTTACATTCATGAAGACCAAGAAGGCCATCACTTCGACCTAGAGAACGTTAAGATCCTAGCCCGTGGAAATTCGAGACAAGCTAGAGAATGCTTGGAAGCATCGTAATTTTCGGACAATTCAGTAAATCGACACGTTGAAATAGATAATAGCTATACAGCGCTACGGATGAAAAATCACCGAATAAGTAGAATAAATCTAACGAAACGGAACGCCAGCCTAGTGCATCAAACGACGACAACCGAAGAGTCACGCGCGTACACTACGAGGTGAGAATCAGAGATCGATTTCCATGGTCATGTGCTTGTCGAACAATCCAAACTCAGACTAGCGGCTAGGCGATCGATCACTCAGACTCACAGACACTTCGTACGCGACACTCTGCTATTACAAGCGCACTGACGATGTCACCTCGAGTGGTGACGAAACGTCTGCAGTCAAACTGCCGAGCTCAGCGAACACTCAGTCCACCAATTTGATCGTAATTTTTGTCTGTGTATCCACCCCGTGGGTCATGTAAAGTTATGCTTTTTATCCCATTATGTACTTTTGAAATATTAATATAAACGATATTACGTGCGGAATTCTACACAATCAGTTCAAACGCCGCTACCTCTCTTTGTGCCATTCGCGTAGTTAAGCATATTCAGACAACTTGGGGCAGTTTCAAGCCATACTTAACTGGGTTGTCTCTCCGTTGCACACCAATTTCTATCAGGAATAACACTGTGGCTAATTTTACTCTTGTTAGATTCAGATAGGCGTAAACTGTTTAAGAACCTGACCAGAGGGTGGCAAAAATACCTAACCATTCCTTCGGTTTGCACTTCACATCGATACCAAGAGGTGTTGAATGTCAGTAAGCAGATTCTACGGGACACTCGAATACAATGGGGAATAGCTTGTCATTGCAAACCTATTGGTTATCATCCATAACATGGGTTGCGGTGTTACAGAAATTGAGGAGCCCCCATATCAAATGAATAACTAGTAAGTGGGTTCGCATATTGAAATGTTGGTATTCGCAACTACGCGGAACGATGTCCAATGGACGGGGTAAAAATGTGAAGTTGCCAAGCAACCCGATTGTGAATTTTAGACAAATTGAACTGTGTGGTAGTATAGCGATTAACACCGGACTAATGGGATATCCTCATACTAATATTTATTTTCACTAACGGATCGGACACGCAACTGAGTAAATATTTATTTGTTGGATTTAACAAAAGCCCGCGCCCATGACGGGTACATGTCAGTAGTTACAGGATGCGCATCCCCTTGTATGCAGACATACTGCACATAGTAACAAGAGATGAGAAGTACAAATAACGACGAACTCGGTGGTGGAGTGTATGTGTTGGGTTTGCTTCGCCCAGTGCGAAATTGCTTCCGATCTGGCCCCGGTGACAGAAAATTGACATTGATCTAGAAGTAAGTAGCTGTCCAACTCCAGCGGCATGCATGTTGCAATTCATACACTATCATACATGCGCAAATATACACTCACTCACGAGGAGTACTATGGTCATAAAACCACACTTCAGTAGACCTGCAATGCTTCGAGAAACGAGTATTGTTTCAGAAAGACCGCACTATTTTGCCGGCGTCAATAGTGGGACATTATGCCAGCCTGTAGACTTACACGACAGTAATGAATTCAGAGGACAGCTCCAACGATTTATCCTTCCAAAACACATTTGGCAGAGTTGCTCACAGATAGGTTGTGGAAGTGGTAAATTTATGATGACTGCTACTGTTAACTGGAAGTGAATTTCATGCCCAGTCAAGGCATACACCGCACAGAAACTATTCCCCGTTTTAAGGCAACATCGCAGTCTCAAGATTCTGCGCACAGGATGAAAGCAACATTAATTCGAGCAAAGATGCTGATCAGTGTATTTGGAACAGCATGATTCCAAAGTTGGAATCTGTTAGCAAAAGCTACATTCGCATTCGCACAGTGGCATCCAAGCTTTCAAGTTTCGGCCTACGCTGTGTGAAGGGATCAATGCCAAGCAAATCTGTTTGGAGGTTCGCCGACTAGAGGAGCAATAGGTAGTGACTTTTAACGACTGGTGTGAATCGGAAACCAGGAAATTGTGTGCAACTACACGACTATAAATCAAATCGCAGGGAGATTGTTAGTTTTTGCATCCATATGCAGGTTAGGCAAAAAGATAACGATAGGAACGCCAATGGTACTCAGGACTTTGCACCAATTTCCCTTTTTACCAATTGCGACTTAAAAGGCCCTCGATTTCGTGTCTACGCAGACCGACCAAGCGACTGTACATGCGCATCTCGGAATTCATGCATTAAAACTAGTCACTATGGTCCAGCGAGCATCGCTGAGGATTCAAGCTAAGCGGAAGCGTAGTTCTTAGCATTTTCTTGAATAGCTAGGCAAAATGAAAGATCAGACGGTACGTACAAGTTTATCTGCAAAATGTATAAGAGATTTTGTCAATAAAGTAGTGATTGTGATTGGAGAGTGCCCGCGGTCAGCAAAGGTGTTATGCACAAACACAGTTAAAGTGTGCGGTTTGGTACATATTTGTTGGGACTCTCGTTGGTTGCAAGTGAAGTGTGTGACACCTCCAGCGACCGTGGTTACGTTGCACCTCCATTGGGCTCCAGCACCTGAAAAACAGTACCGCAGACACAAGGTACCGGATTAATGATAGGGGAAATCTCCTGTCTATCAGAGTATGTACTAGCAGGACTACCATAGGAAGACTGCTCCCAGGCAATGCGTAACCATATTTGGTCTGCTACAGTGGTGCATTTTTACGGCAAAACATCATCACACTGGGTTATGGTGACTAGGAAAATATCCAACTGCAGTTGGATCGGCATGCCTATTACGTCAACGCCACCTGACTATCATCTTTGCACCCAATCAGTACATGAGTTCTAACAGTAGGTTGAAATATCTTCAGTACTGGGTTATGAGGCATCTAGGTAAGGGGATGGGGCGTAAGGACGAGTCTGGTATTGTGGTGTTTATTCCGGCGACGAGTGGAAAATGTACAGCCAGGGAATACCCGGCCGCAAATTATTGTGTCTCCATGTCAACGCTGGTGTCTCCACAATGAAACAAGAGTTATTAAACGGTAAGAGAAACCTGAATATGTTTTACTGAACATCTTTAAAAGTGGGGATGGCTATGTGCTGACATCCTCGCGCAGCCCCAATAGCTCGGGTAGTATCGTCTCCAGCCAGAGATATGTGCAACGCGAACCAGATGCTGGGGGCTTAAGAAGAAAGGTAAAAGTTGGTTGGAAGTGGCGGAGAGGAATTAACATTTAGGTGACGAGCCACTTACCGCCGACGCTGACAATCCAGGCGCTTTGAATATGCACTTGAGCATGGAGTCCATTTTTTCAACTGAGGCTAGCTGGACAATGCAAAACGGCAGATGCAGACAGTTACATCGATAAGCAGATCGCTTACCACCTCGTCTTTGGGTTTGGTTTGACCTAAATAGATAGATCTAGATGTAATAATGACTCGGTCTGGTGATGGAACGGTCGTTTCGATATCGAATGGTTTACAGTGGACTTCAAGGAAGGCGCAAGGTTAACGTGTACGTTGCAGCAATTACTAATAATCTCCTTTGATTCATTTTGATCAAGAAGACCGGAGTTTGGAAGGACCCAGATGTCGCGAGACGGCGCTTGAACATGGAAGTACATTCGATCATTTGATGGGTTGGTCAAACGAACTGTAGAGGCTACGACTTTATCAAACGGACCTGTAGAATATTAGGGTGAGCAAAGAAACAGGGTACCTTCAAACACCAGTTCGCCCCTCGGATGCATAACGATTTCGCCGGGTATCCACGGAATGCATTTCAATTTGTAAACCACAATATCATCCGGATCGGCATCATTCCACTTGCAAACAAAGCAAGGATTAGGTTGCTACCACATACCACTTGGTCATTTTCTTTGTCAACCGGTTTGACAATGCACTGAATAATTATTTCGTCATTGGATTCCACCATTGGTTCGTACTCGAATGGCAGAAGAGCTACTGCAAATGCAACGGTCGGATAGATAAGTTCAATTAAACTTACCATCGATAGTTGCTAAATGGGTCGAAAAAATCGTCCATCTCGTATAGCGGGTGTAGTACTGCTCCGGCCTCGTCAATGATACCTTAAAGCACATATCAAATGTTTGATCATTTTTGATGTTGAGTTTGGCTACGACAACATCAGTAAAGGGGCCTAGAAGATGAATTGAAGACAGAATTGAATGAGGTTGACAAGACCAGTATGTGGAAACCGAGTGGATGGACGCGACTGAGCAAAGGATATGATGCAACAAGTCAACCAACGAAGTAGGTTGCTGAACATGCTCTGTAGTACGAAATGAAACACACAGCAGCAACTTAACATGCGCAACTGTCAGGTTTAATCTTCTTAACCGGCGAACAACGAGTAGTGTTCATCTTTACTGCTGTTAAGAATTAAACAACACATTGCAGTGATGTATCTCTCCACGAAGCTGTCGTCAGTTCGGCATTCCGATGGTTGGATCATTCTATGCAGAAGCACTTTTTTCAAGTGACAGCTAGGCGATCCAGTGCACGTTCCAGGCACAGATGCACAAAAACAGGTAAACTGATACTCGTCCGATCCAAGTACCCAACTGATCTACTGAGCTTTTCATAGTGTGCCGCGATCGAGGAGGTTTTGACAGAAACTTGAAAACATATGCACTGCTGAATAAGACAATCATGTTGATGAATTCAGGTGTCGTTACGTTTCGTACCCTGAATTGCACAGCTGCTGCTGCCGGTAACGTGACCGGTGGTAGTCGGCATCGAATGACTAAATGGCCAGTTTTTCGTTGCGACAGACATCTGATAATTACAGACAGGCCGTCCGATATCCTCCTTTTTTGACCGTGTTTGGTGAGTCAAGATGGCCAATTGTCGGTTCGATTGAGGTGTTACACCCGTCACCATTCGATGAGACATCGCCAACAGTTCGCTTGACCAAAAAAATGTGAGTGACGTCATACAACAGCCATTTGCGTCATGAAAATTAAGCTTTGGTCACGGGTGCAAGATTGTACGTACAACGCATCCTCCATGAACAGAACGCTGGAAACCACCGGGATTCCTCACCAGCGCATGCCCAATTACCAAATACAACTTACTAGCACCTGATACCGAAAGCAGCTCTGAACCAATTACGTACTGAAATTCAGTAGTGCACAAATTATTTGCTGGTTACACACTGCATCCGTAGAGGTGGGCTGTGGTTAGTAGCAGGCAGGTTCGGGATATACCGAAAAAAAGATTGAATTAACTCACCTTTGAAAAACAGCTCCTTTTCAGGCTGCAAGCGCAATAGCGGAATCTTCTTATGGGACATTGTAACAAAGCGAACTCGACGAATTTACACCAACTATGGAGCAGGTGCTCACACCGTCGCCCATAAAATGCATCCACGGACCAATGAACTGTAAAGCAGTTGAACTTGATACCATTCAGCATGACGGCCAATCAGCGCATCCGCGACTTTCCATTCTATTTGTGGACATACTCACATGGCGAAGGTTACTCACTTGGTTAGTGGTGGATGATACGTTTCAGACAAAATAGCTGAGTTGTAACTTGTCCTGCCAAATGTTCGGTGAGGGATTTTAAATGAATATTGAAAAAACTGAAGTGGTGAACAGTTAAGTTCAAGTGGGACTGGGGCAGTAGGAGAAATTCCCACATGTGTTCCTTCCGTGGCGCGGCGTTTATCCAAGGTAATATTCCTCCACGTTAACCTTAATCTGAGCGAGTGAATTCAGTACGATAGAATCATATCATGGTCAACCAAATAGTACCCACGCGATCTGGTCACACGAAGTAAGAAATAGAACTACGAAAGTATTAAAGCGTTAAGAACCAAAACTGCGGGCTTGTCGATCAAACTTTTGTCCACATTACCTTTATTCCTATGGTTGTACGCGAAACGCTAGGTCCTGCCTTAGGTTTTTCCAGATAAACTGGTGTGGTTTGGTGCCGTTTGTTTTTGTGAGTAGTCCCGTGGGTTGTGTGTACTATACGAAGTTCTGTACTATGGCCAGCATATTAGCTATGCGATCTTAGAACACAGCTAGTTTGACTGTCGAAAAAACAGCTTCTCGGAGGGAACTTCATGTGCTGCAAACATGCAGATAGAAGGAATACCGTCTACACACTAGCCGGCTGTATGGTTGTGCCAGTTTGGGACGCTGTCGTCTCAGTCTGCTATTATGTCTGAGCGCAAACAGATGATAGCAAAAATGATTAACGTTCCTTAAAATCTTAAGCCACAATGAGGTCAGCACGCAAACAATGACAGTGTCTACTGAAAACTCCAAGACTATTTTTTCTGTATTCTTATGGCAAATGTTGTATACCTATCACGTTTGTAGTAGCCCGATGTTGTGCAATCAACAATACAGGAGGTCCAGTTATAACAATGCTGCAGATAATGGTCGGTAAGATTTTGATATGAATCATTTCGTATCATTGTGTTAACACGGTGGTAACTCTGGTCTGAATATCTCTAAGTTAGATATAGATATACATATATATATCTATCTATGTGCTCGATTTATAAAGCGGCTGCACCTATGAAAGGTACAGTTTAATATTTACATAGTGTAAAACGTTAGGAGTGCAGACATTCAATAGCAGAAGCTGAAATGCACGCCGCTGCTGGAAATAATTTTCACATTCAAAATGTTCCTAAGTCTTCCGTCGGTATATCTCGACGATCTGATTTTCTATTTCCACTACCGTGCACATGCCTCAAAAGCGCTGTCATCTACCTGATCGGCAGCATGAATTTTCTTCACTCTACCTTATTTCTTCTATTACTAGGGATCGCATTGCCTGCTCCAATGGATGCAAGTGAGAATGTTGATAGGAATAGATAGAGGAATCCACGTTATTACGCTAATAAAACCGCGCATTTTAACAGTGACACTTAAAATAGATGAAAGTTTCCAATTTGTCTACGTGTAAAAAGTTTAAGCTCTTCAGAAGGTCGGAACAAATGTGTCTAACGAGTGAATTTGTTTTAGATTTTCAGTTTCGGTGAAAACAGCCGGTTTGTGCAAGCAAATGTAACAGGATAATAGCATAATAATTAAAATGTGAGATAGAAAAATCGATTTAGTTCACTTTTCTGCTTCCATACTAAAGTAAGAGCTTAAAGGTACACTTAGCCGTGTAAAAAGGTAGACGCAAAACGAAAGCAAACAGCGAAGAAAACGAACACGTTGAGTAAGGATAAAGCCGTAACTTTAAGTCAAAGCAGCCATGTATGCAGTCGTCTGGCAGTTTGATCGCCCTACAGACTTGAGGCGATCGGCGTAATTTCGGCTGCTGGAAATGATTAGGATCAGTAATGCGTTAATGCAGATCATGAACAAACGGGTAATCGAACCCGAAGCACTTGGCACATCGCATTCCACTTGTATTGGATTCGATACGGATTCACGCACTTTTCGTCCCAGGCGCCGGTAGAAGTGGAATTAGATTATCCATCCTAAAAGAAGATCACCAATGCGGCAACACTGAATTGTGGATAGAAGGGTATGATGGTACAACCGATCGAACGCATTTGAGAAGTCAAGGCAAACGGCGTGAACTCCTACACCAAGTTCTACTGCTTCGGTCTAAATGCACCTTGAGAATTGTAGGTTGGTAGTACCCAAACGTTTCCGACTGAAATATGTACTGAAATGATATAGACTTGCATGATCAAGCCAACTTTGTTTAGGCAAAACATACATGCATCAGCAATGAATATTGGAGTAAGTGGAAGAAGGGTCACTGATGCTAGTTAGCTTGATCGGAACGAATAGCTTTGTAAATCAGAATTATTATCGTATGTTATCATGCCGTAGAAATTTGTCCCTCCTTCAATCAGTGCTGGGGAATTCGTGACAAATATTCAGCCAATATCTTGACTGTAACCACAAGCTCATTCCGGCAAATTCCACTAATTCCAAGAGAGAGGTTGTGTGGGCGTATAGATAACAGTTTCCTCATCACAGCGTCTGCCGTGAAATTGATATGAGTGATTTTTTTGATGGCACAGTACATTTCACTGCGTCGGGATACCATGAAACACATTGACAAGTTGAACAATGAGCAATGAGTTAATATGGGTTAAGAAGCGTTGCTTTACAAGTCCCGTTGGATAGTTGGTGGGGATATCAACATAACAATAATGATGATAAGGATAGTAAAATAGTTAAACATTTACATATGAAATAGGGACTTATCATTTGCTCCGCTGTAATCTTGCGATCCTCTTAGATTCACAGCTTTCACAGTTAACAACAAATAATTCCATGGTAAACTCCAAGTGTAGGATGGAGACGTAGTGTTGCGTAACACTTTGTTACTTAACACTCATCCATTTACACTTTGTAAGTTGATGCGTGCATACTGCTGCGGTTGCTGCAATTGCTGTTAAAAAGAATCCATCACTTCGTTGGTGATGAAAAGATGTGAAGCGGCACTTCGCGCTCATTCACCTTTAGGTTAATACTTAGTGTGATAGTAGTGCAATTTTTTGTGAGGTGGGCGGCGTACGTTATCCTCGATATATCATTCATTAAACCACGACCGTGATCGACATTCCCTAGCACAACCTATGGTCTAGTACTTCACAAAGCTTGTCGTCGTCAAATCAATCTTTTAGAATTTGTATCACTCTCTCACGTGACAGAAAAATCTCACAGATTTTCGTGAAATTGCACAGGTACTCAGCATGTTTTACCTCTTCAGGCGGCATATTACACATGGTATCATTTTTAAGGTGCTAAAAGTACCTCTCATATGTCTAAAATCTGGTCAGTGTAACTACGCGTTCGAAGTCTCACATATAATATTTGGCTTGTAGTTGAATTTTTAACGAGTAATTTTCACTGTAATGTTTTTGCCACACCAGTTTGTGATTCATCGCGTACAACTCAGTCTTTTCAACCGCAAAAGAGTAAGATGTATCCTGCTGCACCTTTATCCATTTGAAACTGCGACTGAAAAAGCAATGTAATTTATGAATGTGTTTTGAGCGTTTCCAGTGGCATACTATGACATTAACACAGGTTGCTGAATGTACCACTGGAGTGCGCTAGCCTAGGTACTATACCAATCCTGATTGCGATTGACCTTGACTTTTTGAAACTGCAATAAACATATGGACAAAACCTATCTAATAATTTTGTTACAATACGACTGTCAGGTTCGCTAAAGTTAAGCGAACTGGAAGATCTCAATCCTAAGTCTAGAGCACAGGGGGTAACCGGAATCTCCACCCCATGAGACCTGAATAATACGCCTTATATCTGACATCTATTTGCCAGGATATTACACTTGGATCTTGAAAACGTCAACTACCACATTTCGGCCCATCATGCTATGTTTTAAAGATAAGGAATATTGTGGCTATCTATTCATCACCGTCATCTGTGTCATTGGGGGACAAATACGAGATGTTGACTTCCACTCTGGTTGGCTGTTTCGAGAGGGCGCAGGTGGAGTGGTTCAGCTTTGATATCGGCAAGGCATTTGCATATATGTTCGTTGATGTTCATGTTGCAAATGTGCACTGTTTTGAAATTTCATCACATTTCTAAATTTTCGAATAAAACTCAAGGTATTTTGGTTTTTAACGAACAAATATTTGAGACTTCTGCAGTGAAAACTGAACGGGATCGGGCTTGTGAAGCGTAGCGATAGTGTCTGTCCCCTTTCATAACTTAACTAACAAGTATATTTCGCGCTCTAAGAATGGAATATACATCGTTGTTCAGCTTGATATTGTCCATTACATTGAGGTAAATGGCAGTATCCCGCCTCTATTTCCTTGGATAATCTCGAGTGCTGCAGTGTTTTATTCGTTTTAAATTGATGTGAACAAGTTTACACGCGCTACTTCTGGTAGCAACAGCTTTAGTATCCGTGCTCTTGACATTTTATATGTTTTATCCGCTTGCATCCTTTGGAGTGTGATGTACTGTTTTATGGTTACATCGCTCCGCCTGAAGGTAGATCACAATTGCTTTAACCTATCGTCAGTGACTTCACCTTTTTTGAACCTTGATGTGAGTAACCGTCATACTTGAAAGCCATTTCGGAAAGGCGATTTGTCGCGTCTACTGCTTTGGATAACCTCAGACAACCGCGCATTTTGAAAATGTAATTCCCGAATTCTGCGTTTTGGCTCTAAATTTACTGGAAATCGGTTATATATATATATATATATATATATATATATATATATATACATTGCTGAGCCAAAACAACTAGTTTGTATTTTGTTCCGCTAACTGTTTCTTCTATATCTTTTTTTCTCACAATGAAGATATACAATTAAGA